CTTCAACCTTCAAACCCTGGCGTCTTGCACTTGCCCATCCAATTTTCTCCCACCCCCACGGATGAACGGCACATCCCACCTCCCCCACGGCCACCAGGGAACCACCCCAAATCCCGGGATGCTCCGGATCCCCAGGGAAGGGACAGCAGCCCCATGAACTTCCCCCAGCCAGGGACATGGGCCATCCCTGGTCGAACATCCATTCTTTTCTCTTGGAAGACACGCGGGGCGGAAACGTTGGAAGCGGCCCCGAAAGGACATTCCAAGTCTGGCAGGAAAGCGGTCCCGCTCGTCTGGCAGGAGATGGGCTATTGTCTGTCCCGGTGGCCGGCCGGGATTCCTCAGGTCCTGCCTGGAAGAGGAAAAATCTCCGTGTGTGTCTTTATTTTTTCCTCTGTCCTCTCCCAGGGGTGTCGCGGCTGCTGCTCGTGCCGGCGTTGCTCCTCTGCTGTTTCCTCCTTGGATTTTTTCCTCCCGTTTTGCCCTGGTTTCCTGGGTTTTTTGGGAATGATTGGGCACCATGTTGGGCTCCTGAAGGGAAGAGATGTGGATGGAGAGCTTTGGGAGGGAGGAGAGCAAAAGCTCCAAGAGATGGGACAACCTGATGGGCAGGAGAGGGCAGGGCCATCCCGAAAATCTGGGCAGCCAGCTCCTCCAGCCAACTCCGAGGGTCTCTTTGCTGTCCCTGGGGTGGGATTGTCCCCAAATTGAGGGGCACGATGAGCGCTGAGGCAGCAGCGATGGGACACGGGATGAGGGATCTTGGTGGCTCTTGGATCGCTGAGATCCTGCGGTGCCGGGATCTCGGCATCTCTTGCTCTCCACGTCTCCTTAGATCCCCAGACTCCTGCAGCTCTGGAATCTCGTTGCCCCTTGAATTCCCAAACTCCTGCTGTTGCCGGGTCTTGGTGTCTCTTGGATCCCAAATTCCTGCTGTGCCAGGATCTCAGCATCTCCTGGATCCCAAATTCCTACTCTGATGGGATCTCAACATCTCTTGGATCCCAAACTCCTGCAGTGGTGAGATCTCAGCGTCTGGATCCCAGATTTCTGCTGTGCTGGCATCTCAGCATCTCCTGGATCCTAAACTTCTGAAGTGATGGGATCTCAACATCTGGATCCCAAACTCCTGCAAGTGATGGGATCTCAAAATCTGGATCCCAAAATTCTGCAGAGGTGGGATCTCAACATCTGGATCCCAAAATTCTTCAGAGATGGGATCTGAACATCTCCTGGATCCCAAACTCCTGCAGCACCGGGATTTTGGCATCTCCTGGATCCCAAACTCCTGCAGTGATGGGATCTCAACATCTGGATCCCAAACTCCTGCAAGTGATGGGATCTCAAAATCTGGATCCCAAAATTCTGCAGAGGTGGGATCTCAACATCTGGATCCCAAAATTCTTCAGAGATGGGATCTGAACATCTCCTGGATCCCAAACTCCTGCAGCACCGGGATTTTGGCATCTCCTGGATCCCAAACTCCTGCAGTGATGGGATCTCAACATCTGGATCCCAAACTCCTGCAAGTGATGGGATCTCAACATCTGGATCCCAAACTCCTGCAGTGATGGGATCTGAACATCTGGATCCCAAACTCCTGCAGTGATGGGATCTGAACATCTGGATCCCAAACTCCTGCAGTGATGGGATCTGAACATCTCCTGGATCCCAAACTCCTGCAGCACCGGGATTTTGGCATCTCTCGGATCCCCTGGGCAGGGTGGGGGTTTTCTGGTGCCTCATCCCCTTTTCCCGGCCCCTGGAGCTGTTCTGCTCCACACAGCCGGGGCCGATAGGATCAGGCCTGGCTGGCGGGCAGGAAGGGTGGCACGGCCACCGGGAGAATTGCAGGACGTGCCGTTCACGGGTACGAACAGGGAAACACGAGCAGTCACCATCCCGAAAATCTTGGACTCGCCGGGCTGGGATTGGGAGGAAAGGTGAAATCTGGGAATTTCAGGGTGTTGCTGCTTGTGGGATGAACCCCCAAAAAGCCGTGAGAGAGGGAAGAATCCCATGAGGATTCGGGATCTGTTTCCATCCTCCGGGCTGGCGTTTTCCATCCCAATCCCATTTCCTCCCTTCCTCCCCACCCTGGGTTTAATGGGAACATTAAAAACCGAGAAGATCCCATTCAGTGCCGGTGCCAGGGCGATTGTTCCGTGCCCATTGTGTGCCCCAGGCAGCCCCGGAGCCCACACCTGAGACCTGCCCGGGAGGAGATAACAGCGCTTTTCCCTTTTCCCCTTTTCCCACTTTTTTTCTGTGTGCTCGGCAGGGTGGATAATGAACCCTCAAGGAAGCCTCTTTCAAACACGGCCCCATTAAAGCGCTGGCCCCATTTGGAGACTGAGCTTCCAATGGCACCGGGAGGTGAAGCACAAAGGGAACGGGAGGGCTGGGATGGGATTTTGTGCCTGGCTCAGAGCGAAACCATCGCTCGGTGCCGCGGTGCCACTGTCGCAGCATCCCAAACCCACAAAATTTGGATTTTTGCTTGGAGAAAACACCCAAAAAGCTGGAAAAAATGCAGTTTCACGCACACCTGAGGTGCTGTGCATTCCTGCCTCAGTTTCCCCACTTATAACCTCCCCACAAGGCCAATCCCTGCTGCAGCGGGCACAGCTTCCCGCCGTGTCCGGTCCTTCCCGGCGATGGATTTTGGGGACCCGGTGGCCCCGGCCAAGGTGAGCCGGGGCAGGAAGGGGCGCCGCAGGATGCGGCAGCCCCCGGGCGATGCGGGGCCGGGAGGAAACCCGGCGGGTCTGTTCGGCGGAGGGCGAGGGAACCGAGATTAAAAAAAGGCCCGCTAAGATCAGAAAGGCTGGCGAGCACAGTGCCCTATTGTGGAGCTGTCACACTTCCCTTTACTTTATTGCTTTTGTCCAACACCCCATTGTTCCACTTCCTTTTGTCCCCTATTCACAGCCCTGGCTTTTCATTACCCAGCCGGCCTTGTTGTTTTCATTTCTTTTGTCTGAAGTTCCTGAGAGGAAGGTTTTATTTTCAGCCGTTTGATTAATTCGCAGCTTGAGCCGAGCTTTGTTTGTTATGTAATTGCTGCCCCCAAGCCGGGCGACCCAGCTCAGCCCTCCCCACCCGGCTTTGCACCCCCAAACCGGTTTTAGGGGCTCCCGATGGGGGTCTGGGAGGTGAGAGGGTGCTGGGTTTGGGGTGGCAGCCCCCAGGCAGGTGCTGTCCCCATGGCAGGGCAGTCCCACCATCCCAGCAGTGGCCCGGGTCAATCCCTTCCTCAGCAGCCTCCTTTTCCCATTATTCCCGCGGAAAGGCGAGGACAATGCCGCTTCCCGTTCTTGCTGTGTGGCGTGAGGCTTGGTGGCCACGAAAGGCAAATGCCCCGTGGGCACCGCCGAGCCTGGCACTCGCTTTGGCGGCCCTGGCACCCGGAGCGAGCAATAGGACATGTTTTTGGGGTCCCCATGGGGTGGCACAGCCTGTTCCCTATAAAGCTCATCGTCATGCCTGCGGCGCCCGTCCGGCAGCACCGGGACGGGGATGGGCACCCACAGGGGTTTTGTGGGATCTGGGAGAGCCATTCCAGGGACCAGCCCCTTGTCCTGGCAGGGCCTTGGCCGGTGCTGTGCCAGGGGTTCCAGGAGGAGCTGCTCTGGTGGCCAGTCCTGGTCCCTCCCATGCCAGGGACTCTCAGAGGGGCTGTTCTGGTGGCCAGTCCCAGTCCCAGGTACATCCCGTGTTGGGGATTCCTGGAGGAACCATTCTGATGGCCAGTCCCAGTCCCAGGTCCACCCCGTGTTGGGGATTCCTGGAGGAACCATTCTGGTGGCCAATCCCAAGTATTTCTCATGCCAGGGACTCCCAGAGTGGCTGTTCTGGTGGCCAGTGCCTGTCCTATCCCGTGTTGGGGATTCCTGGAGGAACCATTCTGATGGCCAGTCCCAGGTCCACCCCATGTTGGGGACTCCTGGAGGAGATGTTCTGCTGGCCAGTCCCAGTCCCAGCTCCATCCCATGCCAGGGACTCCTGGAGGAGCTGTTCTGGTGGCCAGTCCTGGTTCTTCCCATGATGAGGACTCCTGCAGGAACCATTCTGGTGGCCAGTCCCAGTCCTGGTCCCATCCCCTGCCGGGGGTTCCCGGAGGAGCGGTTCTGGTGCCGCCCCAGCCGCTGTTGGGCAGAGCCAGGATTTCCACTTCCCGTTGGATCGGGAAAGCCGTGGCTGCTCCGATGGCTTTCTGGGCACGGCTCCTGGAGCTGCTGGTGCCTGTCCCCCACAGCCTGGCCTTGCTGGATGTGGCATGAAGGTCCCTCAAGTGGTCCCTCACTCCCAATCTCTGGGATCTCTGGGTTGCCTTTAGGAATTCATTCCTGCATCCCAGGGTGTGAAGGGTTGGTTCCCCTGAGATTGAGCCCCCAAAACCTGGAGAACCAGGAACAAGAGCTCCCAGGGTATGAAGGGTTGGTTTCCTTGAGGATTGAGCCCCAAAAACTGGGAACAAGCAAGAATTAAGCCCCAAAAACCTGGAAAACTGGGAACAAGAGGTGCCAGGGTGTGAAGGGTTGGTTTCCCTGAGGATTGAGCCCCAAAAACCTGGAAAATCGGGAACAAGAGGTCCCAGAGTGTGAAGGGTTGGTTTCCCTGAGGACTGAGCTCCCAAAACCTGTAAAACTGGTAATAAGACCTTCCAGAGTGTGAAGGGTTGGTTTCCCCAAGAATTGAGCTCCCAAAACCTGGAAAATTTGGAACAAGAGGTCCCAGGGTGTGAAGCGTTGGTTTCCCCAAAGATTGAGCCCCAAAAAACCTGGAAAACTGGGAATAAGAGCTCCCAGGGTGTGAAGGGTTGGTTTCCCCAAAGATTGAGCCCCAAAACCGGGAGAACTGGGACTAAGAGCTCAGCTTTGCCCATGGCAAACCCCAGTTGCTGTCCTTGCACTGTGGGGCACCCCAGTGTGAGGCCAGGCTGGGAGAGGGGTGCCCACGCCCGGGGGTGGCCGTGGTGACGTCGCTGCTGTCCGCAGGATGTCCATGAGGAGCCCCGTCTCTCCACCCCCGGAGCTGGATGGAGCGGGCACCATGGTGAACTGCGCCGTCAAGACGGAGGAGAAGAAGGAGGGTGGCCCCGAGACCCCCCCGGGGGCCGCCCCCAGCGCTGAGCCCCGGCCCCACGACCCCCCGGGGCCACCACCCAGGGATGGCACCGAGCCCCAGGCCCTGCCACAGGTGGGTGTGACAAAGGTGGGGCTGTCCCCAGCCCTGCTCCAGACCCTGCATCCCGTGGGAGAGACGGTGGCTGTTCCCCCGCGTGGTTTTTCCTCACCCCGAGGAATTGAAACTGAAATCTGAAGTCTCCCAAGGTTTTTTTTGCTGCTCTTTTGAGCCCAAAAACCTGGAAAACCGGGAACAAGAGCTCACAGAGTGTGAAGGGTTGGTTTCCCCAAGGATTGAGCCCTAAAATCTGGGAACAAGAGGTCCCAGGGTGTAAATGGTAGATTTCCCTGAGGATTGAGCCCCAAAAACCTGGAGAACTGGGAACAAGAGATCCCAGGATGTGAAGGGTTGGTTTCTCCAAAGATTGAGACCCAAAAACCTGGAAAACCGGGAACAAGAGGTGCCAGGGTGTGAAGGGTTGTTTTCCCTGAGGATTGAACCCCAAAAACCAGGAACAAGAGGTCCCAGGGTGTGAAGGGTTGTTTTCCCTGGGGATTGAGCCTCAAAAACTTGGAGAACCAGGAATAAGAGCTCAGCTTTGCCCATGGCGAACCTGGGGCTGCTCTGGGATCATCCCTGGGCTTTGAGGGCTTCACCTTTGATGTGGGGCCCCCAACAACCCCCTCCAGGTGTTCCCCATCCCTTCAGCCTCCCTTTTCCATTCTCCTGGGGTTTTCCCTCTCGCTGGCCGCTCCTTGCTCTGCCGTCAGAGGGGAGAGGAGCTCAGGGGACAGTGGGGGCAAGATGGAGAAATGGGAGAAAATTACGGCGTCTCCATGATGCTCTCTAGACGGGATTGTGCCTGGAGGAGTGTCCTCCAGCTCCCAGCATCCCATCTGACGGGGATGTCCCATGCTGGGAGTGTCCCCAGTGGTGGCAGTGACATTCTGTGTCCCACAGGAATCCCGCTCTCCCGCCGGGGACGTTCCCGAGCCCCGGCGCTCCGCCTTCGAGCCGGCCGGGAGCGGCCAGGAGAAGCTGGACTTCAACAGGAACCTGAAGGAAGGTGGGAAACGTTCCCAAGGGACCTCTTGGGATCCTTTCCCTGCCCCTCAGAGCTGTGGGGTGGACCGAGCTGTGCTGCAGAGCCTTGATGTGCTCACGTGGTTGTCTTCTCCTCCCTGTCCCTGTCCTGTCCCTGTTGCTGTCCCTGTCCCTGTCCCCAGTGATGCCCACCATCGAGAAGCTGCTGGCCAGTGACTGGAAGGAGCGGCTGCTAGGTCGGAACCTGGCTGAATCCAAGGAAGTGAAAGGTGGGACTCACCTCCACCACCCTCCCTCCTGCGTCCCAGCTGGGAGCACCAAAGCAGGAGGGGAAATGTCCACATTTCGCAGGATTTATCCCTTTTTTAATTGTTTTTTTTTGGAGGTGAGCATCTCTGCTGCCTCTGGCTGCATGGGTGGGGGCGGTTCAGAGTGTGGGGATCTTTCCGTTCCTCCTCAGTGTGACATTCCCTGGTCACCCACTGTGTCACCCGTGTCCCACATGACACCATGGTGTCACCCATGTCCCACTGTGTCTCCCATGTCCCACATGACACCATGGTGTCACCCATGTCCCACTGTGTC